TAATTGGAGGTCTTTGTTTTCGGGTCTTCGGTCTTCGTTTTGTAGACACCCATATAGGGTCTCTATAAAACGAAGACCTTGAAAATTTCACAAACAGACGCCCAAAAAATGTCGTAATTTTGATTTTGTGACAGCCTGGCTTATTATCATCAAAATAAAAGAAAAAAAATAGGGGTCTTCGTTTTATAGACACCCCCGTCAAATCTGAATAATGTACCAACACCAATAGGCATCAACTGGGATTGCAGCTTTCCTTTTAAGGCTAATTTGTCTATTCCAGAATAATCAGCCGCGTAGCTAGACTCGTTGATCAGGGGTGCCAACAAGGGGGGAGGGTGGGGGCCAAGTACTAGAAGGCCACGCCCACATTAGTCCACCACCGTTGCTATTATAATGAATAATTTCTTCATTTAGATTTAATTATTTACATATCTTTGATTTTAGCAGGGACCAAAAAACTTTAGGGGGACATGGCCCCCTGGCCCCCTTGGCTACGGGGCTGTGATTAATATTGATTATACTATCATTGAATAATCTCTAGGAACCGATTTTTGTTTCAGGTAACGATAGATACACACCGGAAAGCAGCCTTCCACCAGCTGGTAAATATTTATTTATGCCATGTTATTGATTCTTTTTTTTTACTTTCCATATTTACTTAACCACTTAAAAAATATTAACTGTTCTCTACCAGTAAAGCATAACGCCTAAATGGTAACCGAGAAGGTTTTTGAATTTGGCACAAGTAATTTGAACTAAACTGGTAAGTAGAATTGAATCGATTTAATCAGATTGCACAGCATTTCTGGACGTTCCTGTACAGGACTTATGCATCAACAACAACTTCAGTTGTTTTGAAACTTTTGATGACTTTATCTAAGCATGTTAAATATATAAATATAAAATATCAAATAATTATGGACATTTATGAAAAATGTTATATACAAAAGTATACAAACTGTACTGTATAGTATATTCAGTACTCGGTTATTCTTCTTGCTTTTGCTAGTTTTTGTTAAGATCGTTTTCCGTCATTTCCTGGTGTAAGATTGCAACACAGTTTGTGAGTGCCACTGATACAAATGTAGTGTCATCAAGTAAATAAATAAGTAAATATATTTTTCATATCACAGGCCAAACATGCTCTGTGTGGGACAGGACGAATTTTCGCACATTTGACGGTATGGTTTATTCTGTGAACAGTGAATGTCTTCATACTTTAATGACAGAGAGCACAGGATCTACTTTTAAAATCTCGGTGGATTTTAGGAATGATGCAATGGCAGTTGGTGTTATTTACAACAATGGTCAAACGAGTATATCGCTGACGTTAACATCCGATGGCGTAGTCTACAATTCTCAACTTATTACCGCCAACGAAAACATTGGTCCAGTTCTTACATCGTTCGTTTCTCATTATATCATACTAGAAACCGATCTGGACTTTTTCCAAATTATCTGGAACCGTAATAACTTGGTTGAAATAAAAATACTTGATGTTAATCTAGCTGGTCAAATAAGCGGCATGTGCGGGAACTACGATGGTGTTCCTTCTAACGACGCCGAATTCGGCAATGTTCAACCAGCTACGTTTGACCCTGTTACACTGGCAGAAAACTGGAAAGAATATACTGGAGGTAACAACACAATTGCTTTTTCTTTTATTTGCTGGAAAAACTAATGTTAAACAAACACATTCATTTTCATATTATGCTTATCAAACATACAATTCTCGAGAAACCACAATTCTGTGAACTCATGTTGCCCAAATCGTTTGACAAGTGCTTCTCTCTTTTTTTCTTATCTCTCCTTTTTATTGTGGGTGGGGGAGGATGGGGGAGCCACCGTGGCCCTCCTGATCCGCACTGTTGCTGAAAAAAGATGTTACTGCTATCATACGCTGTGACGCACACATAAGTACTATTCCCCCTACAGTATTAGTACTAGTTATTATGCTAATTAAAACAATTGTTTTTGTAATGGTTGATATTTTTAAAATTATTACGGTTCAGTATTTTAATTTCAATCCGCTTCTAAAGAGGCCTAGTCCATATATAAGCAAATCAGGAAAAAAGTGTTATAGTACTATATCTAGACCAAGCAATCCTTAATTGTCTTTATGCTTTATTATGGTGAAGACTATTTTTAGTTCGCTTTGTTATGTTTATTCAAGTATTCTGTGGTCTTTAATTTGCTGTTGAAAATTTGTGGAAAATGGAGTGTATAGATTGACCATAGAAAAAATATATATTTTTTAACGCTGCTTTCATGTTATATGTTGCCAGAATGCGAGATAACGGACACTTGCGTTGATTATAAACAGCTCTCTCAAGATGACTTAGACATGTGTCTGCACATGAACGATTTATTTAGTGATTGCCTAAATGTAAGTAGCCTTATAACATACAAAGATACAAAAAGGATACTTTGATTTTACACTTACACTCCTTTGCGGTCAAAGACATCTTCCAATACATCCAACTGTGTACCAAAAACAGGTAAGACCTGTGTATTAAAAACATTGGTTTTCTTTAAAAGCTGGCGAAATTCGAAACAGTCTGCCTACATTTCTCAAGGTCATTGTATCCTTTTCGGACAAGCATTTATCTAGGCACTTAAGCGTTTTCAACTGCCCTTTTTTCAATTGTTAAAATGATCATCACATTTGTTTATTGTAAATTTCTTATGGCTGGATTCTGCATCATTGCATTAAAGCCAGACTCCGCAGGAAAACATTTTTTTATATGTTGTAGAACTGGTTTTTTTTTTGAGACACAAAAATCACATTTGATGAAAAACTCCAAGCGGTTACTGAGATACGTAACCAGTATACCCTTTTTCTACCTTTTCCCCCAATTTTTAAATTTTCAAAAATCGGTCCCCCAGTTTTTAAATATTCAAAAATCTGTATCTCAGTAACGGCTTCCAAGGTTTGTTTTTTCGTAGTTTTACAAGATATTTTAAAAATTTACATCCGGTGCATGGCTTTAATTAAGGTAATATGCTTAGTTTGGGTTTGAATTTTATGCAAGCTTTTCTCAGACCGGGATTTTTGTAGTAGCCCAGCGCTTCATAAATGCAAGGAAAGCATGCAACATTCATGCAATAAAAATCGCCTGAAAAAAAAAATTGAACTTATTATCGTACTAACAAAAACAGGTATTTATTGGTGTACCTTGGAGAGGTTACATGTTCGTACGTGTGCCGCGCTTACAAGCCAGTAATGAGCAAACACATTTGAAATGGAAACTAGATAATACAAAATGCTGTCCAAACACTTTCGTCATGGCTCAACAACCAAATTATTGAAAGACAGATTTCAAAGTACTTCCTCCATTTTAATACGATCTTCTATTGCTAGGATAGAATATTTTTGCGGTGCTGCCACCTTGCCAATGTGTGTCGCGGTTTTGGACGTGGAGTTGATCTTCTCCCTCAGGCCGATTCACTTTGTCAGTCACTGCTTTGTCCGGAAAACAATTCTGACACTGTGATAACATTTATAAATACCATCTTTCCAGATTGTGCCAATTGATTCCTATATGAAAGCTTGCTACAAGAGTATCTGCAGTTGCCAGAATAGGAATACATCCTGCGTCTGCCCAGACTATGCAGCTTATGCATCTGAATGCAGTAAAGAAGGCGTGACTGTAAACTGGCGTTCAGAATCACTTTGTCGTAAGTTTTACTGTTTTCTTCTTAAATTCTAAAACTAAGTTTCTATGAGGCTTCGGTCTATTTCGGTTACACAAAATGTACACTTTTAGGGTTTAACACAGGTAAGAATGTTAGTCACACAATCACAGCTTTTTTTTGGGATGAACTTTTTATGTCATTAAAATTAATATATCATGGTATTGAAAAATATTTTATCTTTCAGCCTTCGAATGTACCATTGCTGGTGAAGTGTATAATGAATGTGGGTCTACTTGTGGAGCTACTTGCGAATACCAGGATCCTGATTGTCAAGCGGAAACTATTTGCCTAGAAGGTTGTCACTGTTCAAGTGAGCACGTGCTGCTTAATGGCAATTGTGTTAATCCAGTAGAGTGTCCTTGCTTCTATGGAAATGATAACTACACACATTCACAACAAGTTCAAACTGAGTGCGATCTTTGGTATGTTTAGAAAGTTGTTATGATACGCTCTCTCTTGATTTTTCTTTTTTCCCTCCTACTCCTCCTCTCTCTAATTTTACACGCAAGTTGTTTCAGAGCAATATAATACGTCTGTGACTGCTTGGTTGTTCTACAAAAGCAGTAATCATTTATTATGATAAATGACAGTCAATTGATCATATTAATCAATATAAGAAAATATAGACCCGACGAGGTCTACTTACCTTTTCAGTCATTTATGATATTCACCGCCTGTACCTTATTCAATATGGCAGCACTGAATGTTGTATTTAAGAGAATTAGTTCCATATTCGAGAAATTAAAGGTTCGTTCCAGGTTATGAATCTGTTGTAACTGGCATAGTACAGTACTAAAGTTCAAGAATCATTTCTTGAAGAATTGATATTTAAATAGATGATTAAGTTATGTGGAAACACTCTTTATTGACAAGGTAGTGATACGTGCTTTTTGCCACAAAAACACATTTTGTTTACTAACTCTTTTTGGTTTGTGGGACCTTAGAAACAACAGCCAGGAAGAGGCCTTAGCGGACCGTCCGTTAAAACACAAGTTTGTCAGTACTTTTACATATCATAAAACTAAAGTAATTTATTTGACCGCATCGGTTATTATAATACCGTAAAACCTCGAATTGAAGCCCAGTGGGCTTAATCTCAAGATAAAGCCCATCTCGAATAGAAACCCCTTTTTAGTTTGAAAAATTAGCCTCGAAAAGAAGCCCATATAAAAAAGAAGCCCATATGGGCGTCTTTTCAAGATAGCATAGGCTTCTTTTCAAGATATTACAGTCACATGTACTGTACAGCAGTTTCAGAAAACAAAATTAATTAAATACAAGCTTGGTTTATACCGTAGTTTAGGTGATTTAATGCCAGTTAAATACACTCGATGATACAGATTGATGTTACAGTGGAAAAGAAGAAGCCCAGGGCTTCAATTTGAGGTTTTACGGTACACCACGTATTTATTGAGATTTCTATATCCTTTCGAATATTGTTACCCAACAGTACCTGTTTAGAAGGGGAGTTTTCGTGTGATGCACAGTCGTGTGGAGGTACGTTCTGACTATACATAACTATATTTGATCATTCAAACTTGAGATAATTAATTGTATAGTTGTATAGGTCAGTTATGGGTTATACAATTATTAAAATTAGTTTTGACACGACTGTTAAAAATTCAATGTGATCCTAAAAACTGTAAGTAAAGTCTATGACTATTCCTCCTACATTAGCTCTGAACGTACTTCTATTTTAACATGTTATTTATTTCACCATCGTAGCAACATGTTGGGCTACAGGTATTTCATCGTACAAGACTTTTGACAACAAGTATTACGAATTCATGGGCGACTGCGAATACTACTTTCTTAAAGACTGTAACGTCAATCCAGGAGATTTTGAGATACGTATACAAAACAAGCATTGTCACCCTACGATAAACGGTTTTGAGAGCGACTGTACAAAAACCGTTATAATACTGAAAGGTGGAAACCAAATCATGTTATCTCTAGGGCCAGTGGCTTACGTCAACAACTTCAATGTACTATACTACCCGCATGAATTGCCTGGTATATTTATTGAAAATCTTGGTGATACATTGATTAAGGTGCGGAACCTGTCTCTTAT